CTCTTTTGTAATTTAAAAATACGGTCAAATTGAGTCGCACAGCACGAACCCCAGAATGGAAGGGCGTATCGAAGATGTGATTCGAAAAGGGCAAAGTAGACTGTTCTAGAAGTTGACAAGTTGAGTTCCTTGGAAACTGATCTTATCGCAAAGCAAGCGGAACTTAATTTTTTTGATAAAGAATCGATGTGCGAATTCCATTTTAGGGATTTGTCTATAATAAGGCCCAAAAACTTTACGGAATCAACGACGTCAATAGTAGTAGTGTTATTAAGTACAATAGGTTGCATCGTACTTCTATATGATAGAACTTTTGTTTTCGCAGCGTTGAAGCAGAGGAAGTTAGAGTCGCACCATGTTTTAATAGCCAACAAGTCGATGGACATGGTTCTATGAAGAGCTACAATATCCGGATTGCTCCAAGTGAAACTAGTATCATCAGCAAAAAGACAGATTTTACCGCTGATGTCTAGACTAGCAATATCGTTGATAAACAGCAAAAATAATATTGGACCCAACACGGAACCCTGTGGAACTCCACATTCTATTGGCTTGCATGAAGATGTCGTCGTATCAACCCTCACAAGCTGTTTTCTGTTGTTAAGATACGACTTGAACCATTCCAGAGGAGAGCCTCGAATTCCATAATGCTGCAATTTGTTAATTAGGATATTATGACTTACACAGTCGAATGCTTTAGAAAAATCACAGAAAATTGATGCTGTGGAGTGCAAATTGTTCAAGCTAGAGAAGACATTATTGAAGACAGAGAACATAGCATCAATAGTGCATTTGTTGCTTAAAAATCCAAATTGGTGGATAGTTAGTATATTATATTTATGCAGAAATGATAGAAGCCTTTTCTTAACCAATCTTTCAATGATTTTGGATAAAGTAGGAAGAAGTGCAATTGGACGATAGTTCGACTCTTGGTCCTTATCACCTCCCTTGTGCAGAGGAATAATTATAGCCGTCTTGAGGCAATCTGGGAACACTCCTTGTTGAAAAGATTTATTTATTAAAGCAGTGAGGAGATTTAATGTACACTCCGGTAAATTGAAGAACATTTTTAAAGTTAGTCCATCAGTCCCAGATGACACTTTGTTTTTTATGTCTTTAATTGTGCTGAAAAGCTCTAGTGTTTCTACGGGTGTTAGGAAGAAACTGTGTAAATTCATATTGGTACTGGAAAGATATGAAAGCGGATCGCGAGAAGGAGCTATAGTGGTCATTAAATTTTTTGCCACATTTACAAAGTAGTTATTCAAGTTCTCAGGGGAAGTAGAGGTTTATACTGGAAGAGATAGCCTTATTTCTCAAGTCGTTGACAATAGACCACGTTTCTTTGGCAATATTTTCAGTTCTAGCGAACCGGTTGTTATAATAGGTGTCTTTGGCGGCTTTTATAGTTTTATGATAAATTTTTCTATAGAGTTTAACGTAATTTTGAAAGAAGAGACTGTCTGAAAATTTTTTTATTGCAGTAAAGTTGCGAACCCAATATATTTGTAATAAAAATGCAATATTGCAGAAAACTTACTAATAAATTGCAAGTAACCCTAAGGTATATTTGAATTTGTAACCTTACACTCGTAAGTTTGCTAAAGTTTTGATCTAATATTCCAGTAATATTGCTGAAAGGTTATCATTTATAAACCTTGCATTTGTAATATTACCCTAAGGTTGTTTCAGTACTTGCCGCAATACTGCGTCAACATTACAGTAAACTTCAATATAACCTTACAAGTTTGCAGTGTAATGTTACCTCATTTTTACTGTAACCTTATTTTGTTCAGTGGGCATGAACTGTTTCAAGTATCAATTTGCAATTTAGTGAGGAGTAAAAAGAAGGTTTGAAGCATGTTTTAGTAAATTTTCAAGTTGTTTAAGTGAAAACTTAAAAAAATACAGCCTGAAGTAGTTTGATTATTAAGGGAATTTTCCAATATTCCAGACATAAGGATGTAAATGATTTTTTTTTCTCATGAACTGTTCCAAGTATCAATTTGCAATTTAGTGAGGAGTGAAAGGAAGATTTGAAGCATGCTTTAGTAAATTTCCAAGTTGTTTGAGTGAAAACTTTGAAAAATACAACCTGGAAGTATTTTGATTATTAAGGGAATTTTCCAATATTCCAGACATAAAGATGTAAATGATTTTTTTTCTCATGAACTGTTTCAAGTATCAATTTGCAATTTAGTGAGGAGTAAAAGGAAGGTTTGAAGCATATTCTAGTAAATTTTCAGGTTGTTTGAGTAAAAACTTTAAAAAATACAGCCTGAAGTAGTTTGATTATTAAGGGAATTTTCCAATATTCCAGACATAAGGATGTAAATGATTTTTTTTTCTCATGAACTGTTCCAAGTATCAATTTGCAATTTAGTGAGGAGTGAAAGGAAGAGTTGAAGCATGTTTTAGTAAATTTTCAAGTTGTTTGAGTGAAAACTTTAAAAAATACAACCTGAAGTAGTTTGATTATTAAGGGAATTTTCCAATATTCCAGCCATAAGGATGTAAATGATTTTTTTTCTCATGAACTGTTCCAAGTATCAATTTGTAATTTAGTGAGGAGTGAAAGGAAGGGTCGAAGCATGTTTTAGTAAACTTTCAAGTTGTTTGAGTGAAAACTTTAAAAAATACAACCTGAAGTAGTTTGATTATTAAGGGAATTTTCCAATATTCCAGACATAAGGATGTAAATGATTTTTTTTCTCATGAACTGTTTCAAGTATCCATTTTCAATTTAGTGAGGAGTGAAAAGAAGATTTGAAGCATGTTTTAGTAAATTTCCAAGTTGTTTGAGTGAAAACTTTGAAAAATACAACCTGAAGTAGTTTGATTATTAAGGGACTTTTCCAATATTCCAGACATAAGGATGTAAATGATTTTTTTTCTCATGAACTGTTCCAAGTATCAATTTGTAATTTAGTGAGGAGTGAAAGGAAGGGTCGAAGCATGTTTTAGTAAACTTTCAAGTTGTTTGAGTGAAAACTTTAAAAAATACAACCTGAAGTAGTTTGATTATTAAGGGACTTTTCCAATATTCCAGACATAAGGATGTAAATGATTTTTTTTCTCATGAACTGTTCCAAGTATCAATTTGCAATTTGGTGAGGAGTAAAAGGAAGGTTTGAAGCATATTTTAGTAAATTTTCAAGTTGTTTGAGTGAAAACTTTAAAAAATACAGCCTGAAGTAATTTGATTATCGAGGGAATTTTCCAATATTCCAGACATAAGGATGTAAATGATTTTTTTTCTCGTGAACTGTTTCAAGTATCAATTTGCAATTTAGTGAGGAGTGAAAGGAAGGAAAGCATGTTTTAGTAAATTCTCAAGTTGTTTGAGTAAAAACTTTAAAAAATACAGCCTGAAGTAGTTTGATTATTAAGGGAATTTTCCAATATTCCAGACATAAGGATGTAAATGATTTTTTTTCTCATGAACTGTTCCAAGTATCAATTTGCAATTTGGTGAGGAGTGAAAAGAAGGTTTGAAGCATGTTTTAGTAAATTTTCAAGTTGTTTGAGTGAAAACTTTAAAAAATACAACCTGAAGTAGTTTGATTATTAAGGGAATTTTCCAATATTCCAGACATAAGGATGTAAATGATTTTTTTTCTCATGAACTGTTTCAAGTATCAATTTGCAATTTAGTGAGGCGTAAAAGGAAGGTTTGAAGCATATTTTAGTAAATTTTCAAGTTGATTGAGTGAAAACTTTAAAAAATATAACCTGAAGTAGGTAGTTTGATTATTAAGGGAATTTTTCAATATTCCAGACATAAGGATGTAAATAATTTTTTTTCTCATGAACTGTTCCAAGTATCAATTTGCAATTTAGTGAGGAGTGAAAGGCAGAGTTGAAGCATGTTTTAGTAAATTTTCAAGTTGTTTGAGTGAAAACTTTGAAAAATACAGCCTGAAGTAGTTTGATTATTGAGGAAATTTTCCAATATTCCAGACATAAGGATGTAAATGATTTTTTTTCTCATGAACTGTTCCAAATATCAATTGGCAATTTAGTGAGGAGTGAAAGGAAGGTTTGAAGCATGTTTTAATAAATTTTCAAGTTGATTGAGTGAAAACTTAAAAAAATACACTCTGACATATAAGGATTTAAAAATTACTTTAATCCTAAAAGTTTAAAGGGATTTATTAGAAACTGCATCGGCAAATTAAAGTGTTATAATGTATGGCAAGTGGCTGGGTGATGGAAGCTTATGATGGCGAAAATTTAATTAAACTTTGCTTCATATGCATTAACGTCAAGGCCGGGAATTATTAGACATTATGTAATTTAAGGGCTTGTCTAATAATGTCTTAGCAGCAACCAAGATAAATTTGACAGTGAATTTTAAATATTAAAAGCAATTTTAGGGCCGGTTTCTCAATAACGAGTCACCTCTGGGTTGATATTAACTCCAGGGTAAGCAATGTTTACCCTGAAGGTATGCTTAATATGACTTGCTATTGAGAAACCGGCCCTTAAAGCTTTACAAACTAATCAATTCTTGCTAGAAATATTTTAAATTCAGCTACAAGTTGTTCTAAATTCAATATTTAAACCTATTCTATCTTGTATAGCATTCAATTCTAATCAAAAATTATTAGAATTGGTAGAAGATTAACAAAGTTATAAGTGGTTTTGTGATTAGAAGTTTTCCAAAATACTCATTTGCGTGTGCAAAGTAGCCTTTTACACACCCAAATGAGTGCTGGAAAAGGGTATTTTTGATTCATTATACCCTTTTACATGTTTTGCATGCGACAAAGTATCACTTTGCGCCCTTATTATTGGAATAATGCCCTTAAAATGATCAAATAGCCTTAAAGGTTGCTTATTTCTTCGGGTTGTTGATAGATGGCGCTAGTAACGAAAAATAGATCCTGCCCAAGTTGGCCTTGGAATTTGTCTTTTTTTAATGTCGCGAGATAGAAAGAGATGCAGCTAACCTGAAGTATCAGTAACTTGCGATTTTTCGACAAATGATATTTTATTCGGGTCGATGACGTGGAAGCGTGTGCCACGTGGCGGATTTTCTCGTCGATTTTTTTTGGAAAATTTCGCGAAATTTTAACGCGAAAATCGTGGTAAAGGTGTTCGTCGCAGTGTTTCGCACCCTTTTGGCACACGCGCCACCGGGAAATTCGCAAAATCATCGTTTTGCGAACTTAAAAACTATTGGGACTTTTTGCTTGGTAAAGCCTGCCCTGCCCCAACTTGGAGTAAGTGATTTTAATTCTTCATTTACGTGTGCAAAGTAGCCTTTTTCTGCATGAATTGAGTTTTGCATGCGACATAAAGTACTACTTTGCGCACCTGTTTGGAAAATAATAAAGTACCAAAAAAATTGATCCTGTCCATTAAAGCCCTTGTAATTTTGATTTTTTATCTTTTTTTAATGACACAAGATAGAAAGAGATGCAGCTAACCCGAAGGTGAGTTGCAATTTTTTGACAAGTCATATTTTATTCGGGTCGATGACGTGGAAGCGTGTGCCACGTGTCGGATTTTCTCGTCGATTTTCTTGGGAAATTTCGAGTTTTTTCGGGAAAATTTAACGCGGTAAAGTGTTCGTCGCAGTGTTTCGCACCCTTTTGGCACACGCGCCACCGGGAAATTCGCAAAATTGTCGTTTTGCGAACTTAAAAAACTATTTGGGACTTGTGGGCTGAGGCCTGGCCTGCCCAACTTAGAGTAATTGATTTTAATAGAATTACGTGTGCAAAGTAGCCTTTTTCTGCATTATTTGATACCTTGCACACGAATAATTGAGTTTTGCATGCGACAAAGTATTACTTTGCGCACCTATTAGGAAAATTATCATAATACCCTGTTTAAGTGTTTATTGATTCTGGTTGCCGATAGATGGCGCCAGTAGTAAAGATAATAGTACTTGTAATTTTAATTTTTTTTGACATTGACAATATATTGACATATTATTATTATTTTATTCGGGATGATGACGTAGAACTGTGTGCCTCGAGCCGGATTTTCTCGTCGATTTTCTTTGGGAAATTTAGTGTTTTTCCGGGAAATTTTAACGTGAAAATCGTGGTAATGTGTTCGTCGTGGTGTTTCGCACTTATTTGGCATAATGCGCAAAGTAGTCGTTTTCTGCACTCGAAACTATAGGGACTTGTTGTTCAGTTTTCAGTGAGCAATTGTAACTGATTTAAGGTGATTTTACTTAAAAAACACTTCCCTATATAAGTTGTTTTGTTATAACATAAATACAGTTATTTGTAAATAAAAACAGAGTTCATAACCTCACTTATTTACAGGGTGTTTATTTTTATATTTAAAATCCAAATAAAACCCCCGATCAAGGGGCAAACCACCTAGGAATTCTTTGCCAAAAATGTGGAGAATTTAGAGGAATTCAAAAGAATAATGAATATAGTTTTTGTAGGCTGATTTCCAAGATTTTTCATGTTGTTATTTTCCACTGGAAAAATTTGAAATTATGGGAAAATGAACTTCTCACCTTCCTTTCTACATGCAAAAAGTTTCAAAATTTTCCCTTCACTAGTTTTCCAGGAAATTTTTGAAATGGGTGAGACAGTATTTTCAATTAATTCAGTAAGTGTAGGTTGATTTTCAAGATTCCTCATGTTGTAATTTTCTACAGGAAAAATTTGAAATTTTGGGAAAATGAGCTTTTTACCTTCTTCTTTACATGCAAAAAGTTTCAAAATTTTTCCTTTACTAGTTTTCCAGGAAAACTTTGAAATGTGTGAGGCTGTATTTTCAACTTATTCAGTTATTGTAGGTTGATTTCCAAGATTTTTCATGTTGCTGTTTTCCACTGGAAAAATTTGAAATTTTGAGAAATGAGCTTCTTACCTTCTTCTTTACATGCAAAAAGTTTCAAAATTTTCCCTTTACTAGTTTTCCAGGAAAACTTTGAAATATGTAAGACTGTATTTTCCTCGGTATTTTCAATTAATTCAGTTAGTGTAGGTTGATTTTCAAGATTCCTCATGTTTTAATTTTCTGCTGGAAAAATTTGAAATTCTGGGAAAATGAGCTTCTCACATTCTTCTTTACATGCAAAAAGTTTCAAAATTTTCCCTTTACTAGTTTTCCATGAAAACTTTGAAATGTGTGAGACTGTATTTTCAACTTATTCAGTTTTTGTAGGTTGATTTCCAAGATTTTTCATGTTGCTGTTTTCCACTGGAAAAATTTGAAATTTTGGGAAAATGAACTTCTCACCTTCCTTTCTACATGCAAAAAGTTTCAAAATTTTCCCTTTACGAGTTTTCCAGGAAAACTTTGAAATGTGTAAAACTGTATTTTCAATGAATTCAGTTATTGTAGGTTGATTTCCAAGATTTTTCATGTTGCTGTTTTCCACTGGAAAAATTTGAAATTTTGAGAAAATGAGCTTCTAACCTTCCTCTTTACATGCAAAAAGTTTCAAAATTTACCCTTCACTAGTCTTCCAGGAAATCTTTGAAATGTGTGAGACTGTATATCTTCAATTAATTCAGTTATTGTAGGTTGATTTCCAAGATTTTTGATGTTGTAGTTTTCCACTGGAAAAATTTGAAATTTTGGGAAAATGAGCTTCTCACCTTCCTCTTTACATGCAAAAAGTTTCAACATTTTCTCTTCATTAGTTTTCCAAACAAACTTTGAAATGCGTGAGACTGTATTTTCAACTAATTTAGTTTTTGTAGGTTATTGATTTCCAAGATTCTTCATGTTGTTATTTTCCACTGGAAAAATTTGAAATTTTGAGAAAATGAGCCTCTCACCCTCCTCTTTACATGTAAAAAGTTTCAAATTTCTCTCTTCACTAGCTTTCCAGGAAAACTTTGAAATATGTGAGACTGTATTTTCAATTAATTCAGTTATTGTAGGTTGATTTTCAAGATTCCTCATGTTGTAATTTTCTACAGGAAAAATTTGAAATTTTGAGAAAATGAGCTTCTCACCTTTCCCTTTACATGCAAAAAGTTTCAAAACTTTCCCTCCACTAGTTTTCCAGGAAAACTTTGAAATATGTGAGACTGTATTTTCAATTAATTCAGTTATTGTAGGTTGATTTTCAAGATTCCTCATGTTGTAATTTTCTACTGGAAAAATTTGAAATTTTGGGAAAATGAGCTTTTCACCTCTCTCTTTACATGCAAAAAGTTTCAAAATTTTCCCTTCACTAGTTTTCCAGGAAATCTTTAAAATGTGTAAGACTGTATTTTCAATTAATTCAGGTATTGTGTAAGATTTTTCATGTTGCTGTTTTCCACTGGAAAAATTTGAAATTTTGGGGAAATGAGCTCCTTTACCTTCTTCTTTACATGCAAAACGTTTCAAAATTTTCCCTTTACTAGTTTTCCAGGAAAACTTTGAAATATGTGAGACTGTATTTTCAATTAATTCAGTTATTGTAGGTTGATTTTCAAGATTCCTCATGTTGTAATTTTCTACAGGAAAAATTTGAAATTTTGAGAAAATGAGCTTCTCACCTTTCCCTTTACATGCAAAAAGTTTCAAAACTTTCCCTCCACTAGTTTTCCAGGAAAACTTTGAAATATGTGAGACTGTATTTTCAATTAATTCAGTTATTGTAGGTTGATTTTCAAGATTCCTCATGTTGTAATTTTCTACTGGAAAAATTTGAAATTTTGGGAAAATGAGCTTTTCACCTCTCTCTTTACATGCAAAAAGTTTCAAAATTTTCCCTTCACTAGTTTTCCAGGAAATCTTTGAAATGTGTGAGACTGTATTTTCAATTAATTCAGTAAGTGTAGGTTTATTTTCAAGATTCCTCATGTTGTAATTTTCTACTGGAAAAATTTGAAATTCTGGGAAAATGAGTTTCTTACCTTCTTCTTTACATGCGAAAAGTTTCAAAATTTTCCCTTTATTAGTTTTCCAGGAAAACTTTGAAATGTGTGAGACTGTATTTTCAACTAATTCAGTTTTTGTAGGTTGATTTTCAAGATTTTTCATGTTGTTATTTTTTACTGGAAAAATTTGAAACTTTGGTATAATGAGCTTCTTACCTTCCTCTTTATATACAAAAAGTTTCAAAATTTTCCCTTCACTAGTTTTCCAGGAAATCTTTAAAATGTGTAAGACTGTATTTTCAATTAATTCAGGTATTGTGTAAGATTTTTCATGTTGCTGTTTTCTACTGGAAAAATTTGAAATTTTGGGGAAATGAGCTCCTTTACCTTCTTCTTTACATGCAAAACGTTTCAAAATTTTCCCTTTACTAGTTTTCCAGGAAAACTTTGAAATATGTGAGACTGTATTTTCAATTAATTCAGTTATTGTAGGTTGATTTTCAAGATTCCTCATGTTGTAATTTTCTACTGGAAAAATTTGAAATTCTGGGAAAATGAGCTTCTTACCTGCTTCTTTACATGAAAAAGGTTTCAAAATTTTCCCTTCACTAGTTTTCCGGGAAAACTTTGGAATGTGTGAGACTGTATTTTCAACTTATTCAGTGTTTGTAGGTTGATTTCCAAGATTTTTCATGTTGCTGTTTTCTACTGGAAAAATTTGAAATTTTGAGAAAATGAGCTTCTTACTCTTACCTTTTTCTTTACATGCAAAAAGTTTCAAAATTTTCCCTTTACTATTTTTCCAGGAAAACTTTGAAATATGTGAGACTGTATTTTCAATTAATTCAGTTAGTGTAGGTTGATTTTCAGGATTCCTCATTTGAAATTTTGGGAAAATGAGCTTCCCACCTTCCTCTTTACATACAAAAAGTTTCAAAATTTTCCTTTTTTCAGAGGAATTTGTGGGGTATTTGGAGATGTTCGTGGTGTGGTATTTGGAGGAATTTATGATGGGATATCTGGAGGAATTTGTATGAATTTTGAGGAATTATGCGTAAAAAATTCCCCTTTGAGGAATTGTTTGCACCAATAGTCTCTTAAATTCCCCAATAAATACTCCAAGTTTCACCCCTTTATATAGGGTGTTTAAAAAAACTTACAAATATTCCAATTATAGCTTCTCCAAGTAAATATTTACAAACTAATCTTAAGTCCAAACAAACCACCCAATCTTTAATGCATTTTCTACAAGAAATATTTTAAAATTCAGCAACATTCGCTCGAGCGAACATCAAAGAATGTATTTAAATTTCAAATGCAATGAAAATGCAAATTTCCTTGAGAAAAATATTGAATTCACAAGTTTTGCGGCGATGGAAAAAGATCTTTTTTGTTCCTATATATACTATAATATTGAAATTGAAATT